AAAGAGTAAGAATTGAGTTCATTTCTTATAAGTTATAAGGGAACTATGTACTCCCTAAAAGTTTATAAATGTTTTCATATTTAAGTTGAAGAGGAACTAAGATTTCCAAACTAGTTTTGAGAAATAAAAAGGGAAAAATTGATTCCAAGAGGTCTTTTTAAAGCTAAAAAGGGTTGAGAAAATTATCTCAACCCATGAAGAAAGAGAATATTTTAAAAGCATGAGGTAAAGTATATTTTGGGAGTAGTATTGAGCATTGATGTGGGAACGAGAGTTCAGATTAACTTAAGTCTCCATGTAAATCATGTAGCCATCATGGGTATTGACGGGTCATACTTTTTAGATGATCACGTGAGGTTAGCTAGTGGATCCGCTAGGTTGAGGATTTTCTATGCTACGACGAAGTATAAGACAGTTCTGGAAGCGTGGGTGAAACGTTGTATCACCACTTAGGCTCATAATGGTGGTTTTTGATTAGAGAAACTCCCACAATACTACATTACTTTCATATATAAGTAAAGTTGAGTTTGTTGTTATATCTTCTTGGATAAACTGAGTTGTTTTACTGTCTTACAAACTTATATGTATAGCATGTGTTTTAAATTGCATTATATATATTCATTGAGTGGAGTAATTCTTGAGTTGAGCAGAGTCAAGGTAAGTTCATCTATTCCCATCAAGCTTAAGTTGTTGTTTAACCTTTCAACTCGCATACTCATACATTTAATGTACTGATGTCAGTTGGCCTGCATCGTTTCATTATGCAGACGCAGGTAACCAGGATCATCACGTAGCGCTTCGTTGATCCAGTTTGAGCTCCAGTCAGTGGTGAGCCTCGTTGCATTCCGGAGGATTCTTTTTATGCTTTCCAGTCTTTCTATTTCAGAATGTTGTGGGGTCTGTCCCAACATTCATCAAAGTAGTTTTAGAGGCTTCATAGATAGATAGTCAGTTGGATTGTTCAGTTTGATGTATTTTTTATCTTACATTTCAGATGTTTTAACTTTGAGACTCATGTGCCATTTTGTATGGATTATTACATTTGGAGTATTTTCTCTTGAAAATGTTCCTTATTGTTATATTAAGTTATGTTAAGTCTTCCACGGAGTTAAGTAAGTCAGGCCAAGGATTCGCTCGAGGCCAGCAATAGTCACCGAGTGCCAATGCCGCCCAGGGTGTAGGTTCGGCGCGTGACATGTACATCGTGTTACATCTAAGGGTACCCCTAGATTGTAACATTTCTAAACATAATCAAGGATTAATAAGTCTACATCATTTTAACAAAGTATGAAATAGATATATTCGGCGGGATTCTAATTTTAGTCTATGTATATAAGATTAGAATAAGACTACCTTTTGTGTTACAAGGATTTTGTAAGGCAATTTAGGAGAATATTTCAGATTGACTGGAAGAATTAGAAAACGTATATTTGAAAAAGAGTCTCTACAATCATTAAGTATCTAGTATTTCATCTTTGAGTGTAGTGCATTGTGTATGTTATGCTTTGCACTCGTCTTGATACTTTGCATGTTGTTAATATTGTGAGTAGATACATGACATGTCCTAGTAAATAACATTCGCAAGCAATGAAGTGGATCTTGAGATACTTGAAGGATAATGCAGATGTGGGCTTGACTTTTTCAGAAGAAAAGTTAAGTGAATCAACAAATATGAATTTGAAATATGTAGGTGACATGGATAAGTGAAGTTTCCTGACATGTTATGTTTTTACTCTTTTCAGTGGGGTTGCCCGTTGGATTGTAACTTGGCATATCTTGTTTTTCTTTACGGAGGCAGTGAAAAAAGTTATATAGGTACAAAACTTGGAGATGAAAAAACATATGGTACTCAAACATTATTTTATCCGAGATATTGTATCTTAAAGAGTTGTTAAGAGTCTTTATAGATTATGATTCAATAGATATGGTGACCAAGACAGTATGGATCAATAAGTTTAAGCATTGCCTAGACTTGTTTAGTGTTGATTGTACTCAGTAAGCCCTTTGAAGGGCTGGGAGCAAAGTAGAGAGGCACTATTTCAATTAAAGAAAGGAATTCAAGCCAAGAGGAAGATCTGTTAATTATGTCTTGAATTTTCCCTTTTTACTTTAGGAAATTATAATTCTTAGTAGTTTAGGAGACCATTTAGCCTAATAGATTTTGAAAAAGAAAATATTGTCTTTATAGGATTGGAAAATCTTTTTATGGTAAGAAATTTGGACAAATAATACCCAACAAAGGCTAAAGGCCAAAAACAGTAACTAGTAAGCAGTTGAGATTGATATTTAATATTTATGTTGAGGTAAAGTAGTAATTACTACATAATGAGTTTTTAATTTATTGTGTAACTCAATATTGTAAAAATAATACTGAATCAATAACTCGATGATTTTTTTGATAAACTTTAAAAAATTATTAACCCGATAAATCAATAACATGTAATCATGTGATCTAGATATGGATTTCATGTATAATCCTCATCGAAATAGCCCATTAGTTAAAATATTGTTCTGAGCTAATGTGGTACCACTAAGATAATATTCATAAATGACTAAGGAGTAAGTCTTAGTCTAATGGGTGATCCCTATAAGCCTACGATAACACGTATTTCTGAGACTTAGTAATAGCTACTAAAGATCTCAGACTTAATAGACGGTAAACCTTCATTCCTAGACCCGTTCGGTACTAATTAAAACTTTCAATAAAAAACACATTGATAAATTGAAAATAATAGTAATATGAATGCACTGAATCATGTTGATAAATTGATAATTCTGAGTAGCTCAAAAATATTGATAATCTGATAAATATGAGTAGAAAATTTATCTAAATGGAAACAGATAATCTGAAACATGTATCTAAAATTACATAGTTCTAATGCATGAAGATATTTGTGCTATGAGAGTTCATAAGAATACAATATAAAACTGTTGAATTGTAGTATAAAAATACATGATTAAACTAATCATGAAGATGATTAAACTAATCATGAAGATGACAGAAACATGATGAAAAATTATGTCATACTTGAGAACCCTAATTTTGTAGAGATCATTAACTAAAAAACTAGATTTTCTTGGGGACTCAATAAGTGAAAGAATATCCATTGATGAAATTCCATATACCTAAAAAGAAGATATTAGCTTCGCTTGAATTTCTTGAACTAAGACTTAAATATAAAGAAACCTAAATTCTTTCTTTAGAGGAGTTTGACCGCATTGACTTTAATTTGTGGGTGTTAAGTGTGAATGAGGAGGGTTATGTCGATTAAATTCTTCTTAATCACAATAAGCATAGACTAAAATATAATTACATAATATGAAGCTCAAAAGAGTGGAAAGTATCAAAATGACCCTGATTAGAATGTTTAGAGAAGATTTGAATTGATTGGTATTGAAAAATAAATAAATCAAATTGTAAAGTATAAATATTATACAAAACAATGTATACAATACACATCTCTGAAACATAGTTATACATCATATATATGTGTGTGTATATATATACACACACTTGATTTTTACATTATATAAATAAAGAGAGAGCTGTCAATATGGGTTAGCTTATCCCATCCGGACTAACTTATACAGACTTTGATATTTTACCAGTCAGGCTGGGCTAGCCCTTTTTTGAGTGGGATGCAAAATGATTGGCCCAACCCACAAATACGTGGGCTACAGGCTTGCCGGGCCAGCCCACTTTTTAAAAAATTATATATATTTTTAATCATTAATTTAAATTATAAATTTTAATTTTAAAATATTATCATACATATCGACGAAACAATATTACATGATATTAATGTTACTACTTGTTAATCAAATTCACAAATAAAATTATATTTATAAAATATTTATTATGTTAAGTTACCATTTTCAAAAAACAAAAAAAAATTATTAAGTTTTCTCAAGTAAAAGTATAAATAATTAAATAGAAATATTAACCTAATTGTTTTGCGTTTGGACTCTCTTTAATTTTAAATTTTAATATTATTTTTTTACTTAAATTTTATCTGCCCACGGGCCGGCCCTACCAATATTTCTCAAGCCCCTCAAATCAATAGGTTTATGCAGGCTGGCTTAAAAAACTCTTTTCTTAAATGAGCTCCAAAAATCTTAGTTTAACCCTACTAAATCCCGGATTAGGCCAGGCCGACCAACATGCCTATCCCATGACGACTCTATATATATATTTGATACATTACATATATGACCATTTCTCAGTTGAATTTTTTTTATTGCTTCTATAGTTACGTAATTAACCCCCGAATAGCAGTTTGTATAATTTTTTCCAAATTTTTCGGTGCCATTGCCAATTAGCCCATGCCATCTTCATGTTGTGTAGAGCCCAATATGATACCTCTTATAATGATTGTCTAGAGTTCAGGCCCGTGTTCTGTACGCTCAAAATTTTTGACATGGAGTCGGTCATAAAATTTCACTTAGCATTTAATAGCATCTTTATGTTGATTCACACTATAGTTGATACATTTTCTCAAACATACTTTTAAATTAATGAAAGGTTAAATATGTTGAGTCGTTTACTTGGAATTAATATTCTATTCCCGATTTGTGTTTGTCTACTATTAATTGAAAGTTATATATATATATATATATATATATATAAAATATCTTTTGATAGTCATTATTTTCTCCCAAAGAAAACTAACAAGAATGGGGTCGTGGAATACGTTTCAAAGTTTATGTAGAAGTCATTGTTTAAAAACTAGATTTCAATTAACTCAGTTAACTGTTTTAAGCTTTTTGGTTTTAGGAGATTAAAGTGACTTATGATTGTTTTGCCCAATTCATTATTTATCCATATTTATATTGGTTAGCTTAATCCATTTTCAATCAGGCGAACTCACATGGTCTTTCATTCAAACTCTCTCGGCAAAAAATTAGATAGTATATATAAGGTATATTCATTTATCGAACATGTCACCTCTTTCATAATCATAGGCACTAAGAGTATCCCCGTTTTGTTTTAACAAAGAAAGTTATTTTCATATACTATTATATATAAAACTCAAATACGATACAATTTAGTGACACTTGAAGCTGTGACACAAAACAAGTAGAAATTGAAAATTCAAAATAGCAATCTCCAAACACACTTGAAATTAACACAATTAAATTAGTTGATTCTCCTGCAGTTCTTCCTGATCTCTCCATTAGAACCAGTGAGGGGACGGATATCACCCATCTTAATCATGGCAGTCACAAAATCAGAGATGAAACTGCTGGGATTGTTACTGTATGATTTCACAATTGAATCAACGGATCCTCCATTGAAAAGCTGCTGATCAGAATGGAGCAGTCCCTTTTTGTTAACAAGGTTTATGAAGTAGTGATTGTCGAAGCGCGTAGGGGTCTGTAAATCAAGAGGTGCCAAATTGTTATCCCCTGATCCTGAGGCTCTGGGGCAATTATTTTGCCTGGTTCTCGCTAGTGATGCGTCCATGTTTTTGGTCTCGTTGTATATGCGTCCCCTGAAACTTGTGCACCTTGCTTGTCCAATAGTATGAGCTCCTACATTACAAAATGTTAATTTCGTGTCCAGTCAAATTAAATTAGAAAAGAAAGAGTAGGAGTAGGATTGAAACAAACCAGATAAAGCAACCATATCCTTTGTAGAAAGGCCAACAGCAGTGAAGCTAGAGATGAGACGGTTAAGGTTAGAAGTTGGGGTAGGAATGCTGTTATTTGCAGCACCTTGGCTTGCTGTCCTCGCATCTCTTCTTCCCAGTTTTACATCCCAATTAGGTCCTCCAAGCTATATAATATAACATCCAATAAATTTTTGTTTATATTTCATATTAAATGCATAAATAAATATGTCGATGAACAACTTACAATTACAACAGAGTCTCGAGCGGTAACAGCTAAAATATCAGCACAAGAGACCACACCAAGACAAACTTTTTCAACAGCAGATTTGATGTTGTCAATAACTTCAAATCCTCTGGCGGAATTGAAATTGGGTTGTGCCCTCTTTTCTCCTGTGAAGGTTGATGTATCGTCCAGGAACAATGATCCATCGCATCCCTGTCAAAAGTCAAAAAATTAATTATATATATATAAAGGGCAGGGAAACCTTTGAATGCCTAGTAAACGAACTCACCAACAAAGTTGTCGAACTGTCTCACAAAAAAAAATATCATTATCAGTCGTCCCAAGACACTTGGCAACATAAAATACCAACGATTTTGGAATTATGCAAAGTGCACAATATAACACTCATCTTGTTTTTGATAGATAAACTTTTCTACTACGTAACTTTTATAATGAGGGATTGGGAAACGATATTTTTAGTCCCTGTGTTAAGGCTAATTTCTTGTTTTAGTTCTTGTGTTATTTAATTTAGCACTATTAACCTTCATTTATAGCACTGCTAAAAGGGGTAATTTGGGTATTTTAATGTTACTGCTTCAGAAAATGAATTTTTTTTTCAAAGATCAATATCGTTCGTGGGCGTGAGAGGGAGGGTTAATGCTTATAAAGTTGGTTTTGTTGGCATTATAGCTCAAATCGATTGGTTTGTTCTTCTAGATAGAGGCAGGGAAAACTTAGCTTGTTCTTCAAAGAGAGATAGAATTAAAAAGGAAATACTCAAACTATCCCTTTTAACAGTGAACTCTCTGTTAATTTTTTATGAATCTGTAAGTTGAAGGATTAAAATCACTTACTTGATATAATTGAAGGTTAATAGTGCTGAGTAAAATAACATGAGGACTAAAATAAGAATATAGTCTTAACACAAGGACTAAAAATGTCGTTTTCCCCGAGGGATATATCAACTTTAAGTCATAAAATTGATGAGTATATTAAGCTTTTTTTTCCGTATATAATAAAATACTGTGTTCTAAAACAACAATATTAACAAAAACAAAAAGGAGTGAAAATGAAGAAGATAGATTAGATTACATTAACGAAGCAATCGTGGAAGAATAGGCGAAGGAGGGAAGCACCCATTCGGGTTTCCTTCTGAATAGCAGAGTTCACCACAGATTTCACAGTTTGATAGAGCTTAGGACATGATTTTGAGTAAAATCCAGTGGTGAGTTGAGCTGAGGAACTTCCCACTAAAGTCACTAGGAAAAACAAAACTATGGCACTCTTAAAACAAGCCATATTATTGGAAGAAATTTTCTTAATTAGAACCTATTACTTTGAAAATAGAAACAAGCGTGGCGTACACAAGATGATGAGAAAAATGAGGTATTTATAGGGAAATTGTGGAGACTTGAGAATGCTTTATCAAGGTTATTGTTCTAGGCAGGTTACCTAACACAAAGACTCCATTGCATGTCTTTTTACGTTTGACAAAGAGGAAGAAAAAGCAAACAAATTAAAACCAATAACATCAATAAAATATAGAATCATTTTGATTTTTATTAAAATAAAGGTAGTTATAAAAGTAGGACATTTTTTGGGCTTGTTATCATCTTATTAGTCAAGAAAAGGGGACCCAAAGAAACCAATTATCTTATGATTATTTGGTGATGAAGAGGAGACATGAGGACTTTCTTAACATAACCAAAATGTAAAATGAATTCATAGACTTGTGAAGGAAGATTACGTAGATAATTTTAATTTATTTTCACTTATACAGTTGTGTGGATTAGTCGTGAGGCATGCACACACTAGGAACTTGCCTTACATGTTATTCCAAACAATAATGTATTCATCACATCTTTCACATATAATGATGGTATATGATACTTATTGATTTTAGGGAAAATAATTTTCAATACCATGTTATTGTATAAATCCTATTTTTATCCATATATTATATTATCCATCTAAGCACATTGACTTTTCAATAAAGTAATTTATGTTTTTCTAATAACTTCACGAAGGGTTATAAATTTTCATTGTGGTTGTACTCCATGAATCTCTTTCTTGTATTGTTCTGCTGTGTTGGTTATCAGAAATTGTACACAATAAATTGAAAATGAACAAAAGATTAACTTCAAATTTGTTATTATTTTGTTATTGTCAAAATATATTCTAAGTTTTCCCCCAATTTTAAGCTTTGTTTCGAGTCCAACAAAGCTTAAAGTGAAGTTTGCTTTTGAAAAATTGTATACATATTGAAAATTATGTCTAATTAATATCCTTATACGTTAACTTTGACTTATTGGTTACTTTTCTTAAAGTGAAGTTTGACTTATAATTCGTTGCTTTTACCAAAAGTTGGAGAAATTAGCATGATATTGAAGTTATACCTACCTTCTTCGTTTGCGCAAGGTTTAAAGTTCCAAAAATCGTTACTCTCAAACACAAGAATATAATCATTTCATTGTGAATTCACATTGGAAGCTTCTCATATTTTTAGGGGTTTGCATATTACTTAAATCTAATTTCATAGAGAGTTTCATACGGTATAAATTCACCGTCTTGTGTACCATTTTAAAAAATAAAATAATATATTTAGCCATACAAAATGGTGCAGCTAAATTTATATCCAAGTGCACGATCGAATATCTTGCATCTGAGTCTGGCTTTGGCATAGGTTTACGGTGTCCTTGTAGGGATATACCAGATAAAAACTTAAAGCAAAAGTAAGGACATACTTTTAAGTCATAAATATATATATTTTTTATCTGATTTTGTGATTCATATTATTACGACAGTAGCATTATTAGGATCGACTTAAAGACCATATGTGACACCAAATATTAGTTGCATCACTAAATTGAGGTGCAACAAATATTGAAATATGACTCACTCTTCCACACGTTCATCATAGGAAATTAAATTTAAACCCTCATAGATTATTTCTTGTTCCAAAAGAGAAAAATAATATCATGAAAATAAAATTGATATTCTCAATTTATTGTGTTAATTTAAAATGATGTTTGTATTGGTTTGAGTTATGAGATTAACTTATATACGGACTAATAAATAAAAAACACATATTCAATTAAATGTCTTATAATTGTGATGTTAGTTCAGTGATAGTTTTAAGTCTAAATTAAAACAAGCGTTTGTGATATATTTGATTCAATAAGTGGAATAAGAACGTGTTTGAGTTATTTCTGATACATTAAAAATAATTTTTTTAAATCAAATAAGTGAATGAAAAGCAAATTCAATATAATAGGTGAACCGGCCTTCTTGGTCTAAGTGGTTGACTGGTTGAGGAGTTTACTCCTAACCATCATGTCAATGATTCAAGGCTGGTAAAGAAAAAACAAATAAATAAGATAATATATTCTAGAATATTTTTTTAAAAAAAAAATATAATTGGTGAAAGAAGAATATTTTTTAATCATTTTCTAATTTGTAAAGACATTATTTTAAATCGTTTTTCAAATATATAAATAGAAAAAATTCAAAACACATTTAAACTACCTCAAAAGGTCTAATATATCCTCATTCACCTAATTTGCTAAAAGTACCACGCGCATCTCTTAGTTTACTTCTACCGTTATAGCTATAACATACCTCAATTTTATTACAAATTCATGTAATTGTGGATGTATCTCTTACTTTATCCATAATGTAATGTATATATGCATTCAAGTTAAATTGTCGTATTTGATTAAAGAGTGTAAATAGATATTTTCAAAATTCTATTAAAAAAAAAGTATTTTCATCCTTGTGATTTGTGAAACACACTTGAAAAGATTTATACTTTCTAGCTATCACCATTTGTCTCCTTATATAGTTTAGTATTCTTATATTTTCCTAACAATTGAGACAAATTTATTTTATACTCAGGTATAATTTTTAGTTCATAACAAATCTAATTTGATGAACCAATCAATTAACCATAAATTTATCAGTTGTTCTTTTTGTCCATTACTAATTTATTTTTTGTTTTTTTTACTTTTACTGCTTTTATGGTGAAAAAAAAAACTATTTTCTATGTTTTATCATAAGTTGAATGAATAACTAAAAATATATTTTTATTTTTGTTAATTTTTGTGCTGATAAATAAAATAAATTTGTATGGTTTATGAAAAAGTTAGAATGTGTTGGATTTTAATATGAAAAAAAAAATATCAAAGACAATAGACATGATAAGATTCTATAGTTATAGAAAAAAATATCAAAGATAATAGACATGATAAGACTCTATAGTTATTAATTCTACCTCATAGCTATAGTTTCGTTTGTTATGGAGGTTGCAGTTTGTATATTTCATTTACGAGTTACGAATATACAAACAACATAAATATATACAAATTTTTGTATTTATATATTTAGAATTTTTTGAGAACTCTGTTTGTATATTTCACTAGCCAATATATAAACATTGTAATTTATTATGATTTTTTCATTAATCGTATACAAATAATTATGATAAGCATATATATATTTTAGATTATACAATTAGAAACTGAATTATACACTATACATATATAATCAAAAATCAAATTATACAAATTTAAATTCATATAATCAAAAAATCGAATAACATATTTGTGTGAAATGTAACCAAAGATTTAAAAATAACCAAAACTATGATTATATTACATCATATATACTCTGGAAGTCTTCTGCTTCACATAATTTTCTCTTTTAATTTTGTCCTATAGAAATAGTATACGTAATAAATAATAACTAAATATTATATCTTTGCATAAAACGTATTTAAGCCTCAATCGAGTCTTCAAAAATACAAAAAGAAAACTAAGGCGAGATAATTTATAATTCCTTTTAAAAGTAAATAAATAAAAATGAGGTTTAATCCTAAATGGTCAAAAGAATTAGATGGAAGGTCAGCAATTACGGCAATGATTTTCTACGAACAACAATTAATGGAATGATAAATTTACTTATCTTGTTATCTTTAAAGCACAATTAGTCCTCTCAATTTTTTTTAATAATTATTTTATTTTTGTCTTCAAATGGAGAAGCAAGAATTAGTAGCTTCCTTTTCTTTAATTTCAAATTAATTTCTCTTTTATCAAAGTAAAGCACCACCTTTTGATCTATACACTGAATATTGAATGTAAATAAGTGAAGCATAAATGTCATTAGCATAATGCACAAAGTAAAACTGTTTGTGCTTTATCAACAACGGCATTGAATACCAACGCTTTGAGAATAAGCGTTGTATTAATTGCTCTCCTTTTAGTTTTTTAGTTGTGTTTACACTTTACTAAGGGCGGGTGTTTGGTACGTAAATTTTTTTTTTCAAAAATGTTTTTGTATATTCACTTGGTCAAAATTTTGGAAGATATTTTTTATATAGAATTTTTAAAAAACAAAATGAAGAAAATATTTTTTTTTAATGAAAATAGAAAAAATAAATTTAACAAATAACATTTTGTTATAAAACTATAGAATAAGAAGAAGAAGCTAGAGAGAAAAGAAGAGAAGACTTGTTATATCTCTTGATGAATGAATTTACAATGAAGAGGAGCACACTATTTATAGGAGAAATCTAACTTGGTCTCCAAGTAGGAGGACTCTTTAATCATATCCTAAAAAAGACTCTACATGATAGACATTCACTATAATACAAATACTTTATAACACTCCCCCTGAATGTCTAATTCATAGATGATGTGCATCGTCAAAAACCTTACTAAAAAAACTTTAAGAAAAGAAAAACTCTAGTAAAGGAAAAGAGTACACATATCTATTAATACGCATCTAGACTGCCTCATTAAAAACCTTACAAGGAAAATCCAGTGGGACAAAACCTCGTAAAGGAAAAAGAGTACAGCGTGTATTCACTCCCCCTAATGAGAACATTAATCCAGAGACTTGAATCTTCGCATTCCAAGCTTGTGCACCATCTTCTTGAAAGTTGCAGTTGGTAGAGACTTGGTAAATAGATCAGCCACATTGTCACTTGAACGAATCTGTTACACATTTATATCACCATTCTTTTGAAGTTCATGTGTATAGAAAAGCTTCGGTGAAATGTGCTTTGTTCTATCTCCTTTTATGAATCCTCCCTTAAGTTGTGCTATGCATGTTGCATTATCTTCATATAAAGTGGTGGGTACTTTATCACATTTCAAACCACATTTCTCTCGAATGAGATGTATCATAAACCTTAACCACACACATTCTCTACTTGTTTCATGAATAACTATTATTTCAGCATGATTAGATGAAGTGGCTACGATGGACTGCTTTCTAGATCTCCAAGATATGACAGTCCCCCCATATATAAACACATAGCCTGTTTGGGATCGAGCTTTGTGTGGATCAGATAAATATCCTGCATCAGCATAACCAA